AAAAATCTACAATCACAAATGTATTAGTTTTGCATTTTCCAAGGCGTGAGAATCACACACACACACACACTTTCATCGTATATATATATATATCCATATACACATATTAATTATTAACACTCCCGACCCCAGCAGTGGATGTGTGCAACAACCCAGTTTTTAATATCATCTAACCCTCTGCTGATGATTTCGGATGATGAATGATTCAGATAAGACGCGACGCATATGCGAGCGTACGATACACACATATACAGAATAATAATATGACGAAAGGAAAGTCTAGAAGTATAGGAATAAGTCAAAAGCAACAAAAACTAACGAGAGAATGAGAAAAGAATAAGGAAAAACACAACAAATTATTATATTTTAATGTTAGTTGAACTACTAAAAGTAATAATTGAGGAGGACAAGATGAATACTGATATAAGATTGATTACGATGACAGCAGATGATCGAGATGAGATAAAGGATGATCGGATGTGGATCTGAAGATTGGAATAGATTTTAGTTGGGCGTGTGCCGCCCGCTATCATTATGATTAATATTACGATTACAATTACGATTATGATATATGGAATACTAAAACCTATAACAAACAACAAGTTATTACCCCACTATTAAAGTTAACAAAAAGGAAACACAACCACAAGCCCCTAAGGAAAACAACCTAAACCCAAACCAACACACCCCCATACACATATATAGACATAAATATATATGACGACTAGGCACAACTCTAAAAATTATAATTAATTATATTATAACCCCCCCCCTATAAACTGTGCTTATGTTGAAAACAGTTAAGAACACAACAACCAGAACAAGAGAAGTTGAAACGAAAGAGCGAAACGATAATGAAGAGAACGCCCCAAGCGCCACAAGCAAAACAACATATCTGCTTTAAAATTTACAAAAACTAAACAAAAAACCATATAAAAAAACTAAAAAAAATATATATACAAAAACTATTATTAAAGATGAGTCAACATTTTAATTATTTAAAGAAGAAACAACCCACACAACACACACAAAAACAAACACACAAACACACACACACATTATGCTTCCTTTTAAATGCAACATTTTATACGTTTAATTTTTTGTAATGGATTAAATGCTTGAAATACAATTATAAATTATAATTTAACAACTCTGTAATTGTACCACAAATAAACGGCAAATCTAAAACTGTTTGTTTGACGACATTTAAAGACACAATTTCGTTTTATTTTTTTGTATTTTTTAACTTGTTTTTAAATATAATTTAAATACCGAATATCGACAGAACAGACAGCAAAGTGAGAGTTTTTTAAATACACTAAGAATGCAGGGAACAATTGAAAATTGTAATCAACAAAAAAAAAAACGAAAACAAAAAATTTAAAACAAATCATTTCATCATAATGCAAAATGTTTTAAGCTAAGTTTTAGTGCGAGACTTTAATTTGAATGGTTTTAAATTTGGAATATCATAATTTTGGCACACATAAATACACACAGCCAACACACACTCGTATATGTTTATGTAGTCTTAGTGCGTGTTAGTTTTTGGTGTTTTTTGAATTTCTGGTGATGTGTATAGAGCGCAGTATATAGAATGCATATAGAATATATATATATATATATATATATTGTACGATTATTAACTAATGATATAACGTGTAGCAAGCGAAGGCAATTTTAAGTACCAACCAGAAGAAATTCGATTGTGTGGCAATATTAAAACAAAACATAAACGAGTAAAATGGCAAACATTAAGATTTATTTGTAAGTTGCGTAGTGAATAAACGTGAGAATAGTAATAACAGTATGCCTCTCTAACCCCCAACAAAACCCCCACATAAACAAAAACACTCAAACATATTGATTATTAACAATTAACCGAAAAGAAAAAGTAAAACGTGCTGCAATTGTTTCCTAAACGCAGCCAAAGTCGTGAGAGAGAGGGAAGAAGATTTCAGAGAAAGAAAAGCATACGCTTGGAATGACAGCCCCATAAATTAACATTAACAATTTAGATGCAAGAAACAAACAGTAACAATACTAAATAGAAACAATAATGTACTATAAAATCAGATACAATACAACACTATATATACCTAACAACATATGCCTATACGACAGACAATTGGACAACAAATGAAATGAAATGAAAATGCATATATATTATATATAGAATATATATTGTACAAGTTACGAGTAAAATGTAATTAAAATTGACGACGTAGTAAGCACTAAACAAAAAAACAAATAAAAAACGCAGCAAACAACGCGCAGCATAAGCATACAAAAAAAAACAGAAGACTAAAGAATTATTCAAAAAAATAAAGAAATTTAACATTTTCAGCACTTGTTTACAGAGAGAGCCAGACGGAACAGGGGTCTATGTAGGCCTGGAAGTGGTCCTTTCACACGGGTTATTCGAATGTTTCATTAGAAGTGCCAAAAAAGGAAAGGCTTCAACAACAGCAAAAGCAGTTTCCGTTTTTAAAGATATTTGGCTTAAAAAACTGTACTTTCCGCTGCGTAATTTTGTGCTTTCCAAAGTGCTTTCAAATCTGATCAACATCAACTAAATATTTACTCAGATCAACGGTAAGAATAACTGCCATGAAACTACACAGCAACTCAGCTACAAAGACCTTCGACCGACCACCTGTTGTTTATAATTGCCACAATAAAACCCGACTAAGGCCACAGGCATGACATGCCTGCGCTAGAAATCATGGCTACAGAGAGCCATTTATTTTGAGACTTTCTGGTGCTGAAAGATACCAAACTGTACAGTTATAATATTATTTAAGCTTATCAGCTGCCTTGGGAACAATGGGGTTGTATATTATGGGAATATGTAAAACTAAAATGGAAGGTTGCCAGTTACCAGTTTCAACCCTTCGACCTATTGCATTGCAGAAATGCACAGTGAACTTAGAAACAAATAAAAGTGTTTCTTGCATTGAAATTCTCACCATTTTTGTAGCACAGATATCAGCGCTGGATGAAAATTAACATAAATTAAATGACTGGCAAGCAACGACAGTCGCGTCCCACAGCTGTGTCGATATTCGTACAACTATCGCATGGGTTTGCCATCGCCAAAAGGCAAAAAGTAATTTAGGTAGGTAGCGAATTTCTCCGCCCGTTTTGGTAAACCACCCCTATAAAGGATTTTGACCGTCCTGCTGTTTCTGGGTAGAGCAGAGCGCAGAGCCACAGGCAGAGCAGATCATCTGGCCGTGGCAACGTCGTAATTTCAGTTTTGAAAATGCACTGAGAGCGAACAGAAGCAGTAGAGCAAAAAAATGACGACGACAACAGCAACGGACACAGGTACGCAGCAGCAAATTAAATAACCTTGAAAGCAGGATATATAAAACACGCATTAACCCCACACACTTTCCCATGAATCTCCTCTTGCAGCAACACCCACACCTGGCGCAGCCTCCCTGCTGCAGCTGAACGATGATGTCTTGGCCCTAATCATATGGCACCTGAACGTGTACCAACAATACGAGCTGGGCAGACTGCACCGCCGCCTGGAGAGCATTGTGCAGATGCTGTGGCGCACGCGAGTACGGAATGTGGCGCTGCACGATGAGATGTTCAAGCGTTCCAGCCCCAATTCGCGACAGTTCCTGGACTTTGTGCTGACCCTGGCACCGCACATGCAGCGCTTGAGCTGCCAGCAGCTGGATGTGCGGCGGTTGCGCCTGTTGAGCAGCCACACGCTGTCCGGTGTGACCAGCCTGGAGTGGCTGGGTGATGGCCATCGACGCGGTCGCGCCCGCTTTGTGGACGAGGATGTGCGCCTGCTGCGACGTGTGTTTCCCTCGCTGCGGAAACTCAAACTTCGTGGCTGCCAAATTACGGGCAAGTATCTGTGCGACTTGGAGCTACTCAGCGAGCTGTGCCTGGACGACTGCCAGTATCTGGAGTCGCAGCACTTTCGGGATCTATTTCGGCAGCTGAAACTACGAAAATTTGACATTATGGAGGACTGCGATGAGGTCAACTGCTGCGATCTGGTGGACCTGCAGCTGTGCCCCACGCTGGAGCACATCAAAATCGCCGACTATCACCTGTGCATGGAGTCGGACATAACGCAGCAACTGCTGCAGCTGCCGCGCCTCAACAAGCTGTCCATTTACTCGAAGAATTTTGTGTTTGATGTGCTGTCGCGCATAGCGCGTCCCAGCTATCCCACGGGAGGAGCCAGGCTAATCGAAGGCTTTCGCTTCAGCGGCATACTCCACGACTATGAGCGGTTCTTCAGGGAGTTGGGGAATCTGCGGAATCTACGAAGACTCGACCTGCACGGCCATGGCGAAGAGGATGGCCAGCTGCAGTGTTTGGGCGACCAAATGTTGGGCCAGCTCTCCACCACACTCTCAGAGCTGACGGAACTCCACCTGTGCGGCTATCAGCTGGAGAGTCCCTTGGGTCTGCTTGGCTTTGTCACCCACTGTCGCTCGCTAAGAGTCTTGGACATCACCCGCACGCGCTGCCATGGCGATGCCTTTGTCTGGAGCTGCCTAAACATTCTCAGCAAGCAGCGTTGGCGCACACAGCCGCTGGAGCTGTGGATACGCAAGAGTGATATTAAACCAGAAATAATGGAGAGTCCACGTCTGCTGGACAATGAGAAACACATCAAAATCGATTGCAAACAGTTACCAAATAGCCAGGATCACACATCGGGGGTGCTCAAGTTCAGCTTTGCGAGATGATCCCCACCAAAGCCAAACGCAAAACAAAACCCAAACATTAGCGGCGATCATCGATTGTTGTGCCCAAACCTGTGCCCTAGGTGTGTTGATAAGGCGACAATTGATTCAAGACTGAAATAATTGTGAAATGTATGTGTTTACCTGATACCCTGAACCCCCCCACACAGAGGATCGATTAAGACGTTTTAAACATAACTTTAATCCATGCTTGTGTCTTTTTCCATCATAAATCCATTCCATATATAATTATAAATAAATAAACTACAACTATGATTGAGAACTATGCCATACATGTAATATTGTGGATTGATTTATGATCGCTTAATGGGCATACACTCTTTGAATGATCTTGAATTGTAAACGCCTAACCGGTTCCTCAGCGCTCAGCACTTTCTTTGTGCTGTCATAATTTTCCAAGCTGATTACAGGAGAACTCACTGGCCCTTCATGAATCCAATGCATTGCTACATGTAGCATGGGACTTATCCGTATCGCGACATCTAAAATTGGGAGCAGAGGCGATTATAAATTGGGGTCTGGTCAGCGCTTATCAATTCATTCAACAAACAAGACGGCAGCAGCAGCAGCTCTAGATTGGACATCCCAAATCCCAAATCGAAGAACGGGCAGCCACAGGTTAGAGTTTAATTGATAAAGCCACTCAATGCACTTCCATCGTTAAAAGATAACCCCCAGCATATGGGACCTTATTACGACAAAAGCTACGACTACTCCACTCTTACATGGAAGTTCTGAGTTCAGAGCTATTAAAAGAAGTCGTACGTAATGCACTGTAAGAAATTAATGTGTATACTAACTTTTATAAGAACATTGACGTGCCCCAAGTGACACCCAGACGTGACGTGCTAGACGTTAGATCTCAACTTAGACTTTAATTAGTCTGTATCGGGCCTCCATGAGTATTTAATGCTTTATTTCTTTCTGTGGCATAATTAATGTTATTATTTTTTAGGCACAGCATTTATGTTTATTTTTCTCAGTACTTACAATCTCGTAACCTGGAATCTCGTTTTAAATTTATTTTCCAACCAGCCGGACTCAGTCGTTATCAAGTCGTCACTCGAGGCAGTTCGATTGCAACCAATTTTAAGAACCAAGAACAAATCTTAAACCATTCCTGCAGTAAGTCCTCAGGCAAAGGGATTTATATATAGATCTGCAGACATATAGGAAATCAGTGTGTGCCTGTGCATTATCAACGTTGGATTGATAACCTCCACCTCTGGTGGGCTGGACTTGGAGTCGGACGACAGCAGACAGCAGACAGCAGACAGTAGGTAGGAAGTTGGACCCACAGACAACATCATTTGGCTGATTCATCTGCCTGAGCATCGATTAGTGCAAAGACCCCAAGTGACCGTTAACTGAGTGAGAAAAATTGCTATAATAGAAAAATCTTTTATTTGAGATCTGAAAGCTCAGGAAAAAACTGGAAATAACAATAACAAGTGCATAAATTCATTCATTAATCACACAGCGATTAAATGAGTTGTTAACTTGAGGGAATATTAATGCTCTGAGACGAGAGCTAGACTTCGAAATAGATCAGAAAAATCTCACGGAAAACCTCTTTAAATATTGATTATAAAGATTAAGAACTGCAAGCACTTGCTGGTATGTTAATTGCTTCTCTAAGGATCGTTGATTTGTTTATTTTTACACAAGATCTCTTGTAAATGTTTCAAGTTTTTCTCTTCTGCATAACATTGTCTGGTACATAAATCAATAAGCAAATTATAGGCAAATTAGAAATTTAATAACTCAATAGCCCCAATATGAATATGGATGGTTGTCGGAGGCTGGAGGTACTTACCTTCGTTTGGTGTGAATGTAAAAGAAATTGCTATGAGACATTAGCATGCATAATCAGTGGGAGGCAGGAAATAGTAGACCAGCCAAGTGTATCGTTATAGGCGATTGAAATCTCAGCATTCCATAGATGAGAAACTAGTTATGCGTAGAATTTGCTTTGTCTATAATATAACGAAGAACTTGGTTGAACATTTCAGTACGGTATCCGTTACAACACCGCCAGCGTCATGATCGGTAAGCAGCGCCTTCTGAGAACGAGTGTGGCGGGTCTGCTGTTGTTCAGCTTTAGTCTGTGTTCGGTTCTATATCTGGAGAGCATAGAGCGTTGGGTCCTGGAATGGTTCATGGTACTGCGGCCAAATGCCCTAATCACGAGTCTGTGGGAGTCGCCCTCGATGGACATCCATGTGGATCTTTACATGTTCAACTGGACCAACTCGGAGCACATCAATAATCACACAGTGAAGCCTCACTTCCAGGAGTTTGGACCCTACAGGTTCAAGGAAACGATGCAGAAACTGAATGTCGTCTGGCACAATGAGAACTCGACGGTCTCGTATAAGCGTCGCAGTCGCTTTGACTTCGATGAGGCTGCCAGTGCCGGACGCCTCACGGATCCCATGGTGGCGCCCAATCTGCTGATTGTTGGCATCTATCAGAAAATGTTAAACTGGAGCCCCATGCTGCGCACACTCATGCTGATGACCCTCAATCTGTATGGCAAGGAGAAGGAGACCACCATGGTGCGTCCTGCAGGTGATTGGATGTTCAATGGCTTCGATTCGCCGCTCCTCAAGATGAGCAAAATGGTGCCCAGCAACTTGATGCCGGATTTGGATTTTCCCTACGAGAAAATTGGCTATGCTTATCCGGTAAGCTGAGATCGATTTTCCTTGGGGTTTTCTTATCTTACATAAAATTTCACTATAGCGCAATGGCAGCATGGAGATCTATGGCCATCACAATGTACACACGGGTCGTCAGGACTTCAACAAGTTGGGTCAAATCGCACGCTGGCGTTACAACAATGTCACTGAGTCTAGTCCCAAATGCCGCCTAAAAGGTAGTGCTGGGGAGCTCCATCCCATACCGCTGGTGAAGGGCAGAAATATCTCCTACTTCCTGCCCGACATTTGCCGCGAACTGGAGGTGGATTATGTCGGGACCACAATCTTCGAGGGCGTACAAGGATATGTCTACAAGGGCAGTGCCCGGAACATGGCAAATGGTAAGAGAAAAAGATAATCCAACGAAGTCCGAGCGAAACTGATTGATGTTTTGCAGGCACAGATAATCCTCAAAATAGTTGCTACTGCCAGGGCAATTGTCAAGAGGTGAGATCGGGATTGCTGAACATTTCCTCCTGCTGGTACGGCGCTCCCGTCTTTGCCTCCTATCCGCATTTCTACCAGGCGGACTCGTATTATGTGGATCATGTGGATGGCATGAAACCAGACAAGGATCGTCATGAACTGGTCGTCATTCTGGAGCCAAAAACTGGCATGGTACTGGAGATTAAGGCTAGGATAATGGCCAGTCTGCTTGTAGAGCCACGAACCTCAGGGTGAGCAAGAGAAGTTTCCATAGAACTTTTGGGAGAATACAAATTCGTTTATTTTCAGCATCTATCGCAAATCGCGTCGCACATTCTTTCCACTCATCTGGGCTGACTATAATGTGCGTATTACTCCCGATCTTTTGACCTACGTAAAGCTAATCCCGATCATGGAGATCCTGGGCAAGGTGTGCGGCTGCCTGGGTGTGGCTCTGGGTCTGGTATTGCTGTTGTGGTATCCGCGACAAATGCTCTGGCAGAAGCATCTCATGCAGAAGATCGAAATCAATTCACTGGACACTAGCAGCCCGGAGCCATTGAAGGGTGTGGAAGAGTCACCGCTGCTGATCGGTCTCCAATATGTGCCCGCCATCAAGGAGGGAGCGAGAGCCAGTTAACACTGGGCAGTGTGTGTCTTGTGATGGGGATACGATTTTGTGGGTCTGTCTTGCCTAGTCTACAGTCTAAGTTAATAAATGTTAAAGGATCTTCGAAGTATCTTATTCGATGGATTGGCCACTACGGTGGATGGATGGATGGAGCTGTGGATTGCCAAAGTATCATTACTTGTCATACTGAATCATGCCGTCATACAACAGTAAAAGCAACCACTCGCCAGCCTCGGCACAGATAAAACACATACATATGTATTTTTCGGGTTTCATAAAAAAGCTAAACTAACATTTGAAAGACGCCAGAAATATTTAGAAAATATTTCAAAATGTATATTAATCAAATTATTTAAAATTTACGGTATGTTTATAGTATATTTTGATATTTTGAGGCACTGTCTGTATATTTTATCGATAATTCCGCGGTCACTGCAGAGCAGGCGCAGCGCCGCATAAAACACCCAAACACACAAAGTCACCCGAAGCATGATGCAATTATATAAGGTGGTTCCATCGACTGCCCATGCGCTATGTTTTCGCACCCGTAGTGTTCAGTGCATAAGTATGTACGTATCCGCTCTCTCTATCTCTCATGCGCCATTAGAGTCAGAGAGTGAGAGCACAGGAGAGTGAGAGAGAGCATGATCATTATGATCATTTTCGACGCTATGTGTGCACCCTACAGTTATAGCACATTGGTTTTAGACCGAGTTTCAACTATATTATGGACTGATTTCAAATAAACGAGTGTCTTGACAAGTGAGGGTGGAAATTAATAAATAAAAAATGGTATTTTAATCAAACTTTTTGCACGCAGTCCAGCTTTAAAACGACACACTTCGCCCAGAAGCACCCCAGAAAAAAAGGGCATACAAAAGTCAGGCCAGAGGACTGGCCATAGATTTTTAATAAATAATTGCTGGTTGCTTGGCGACTTTTGAAAAATACTTAATTTAGTCGCAGAGCAGGCGTAGCGCCGCACAGAACACCGAAACACACAACAGTCACACGAAGCAAACGGTTCGAGACGTGTTCGTTCAAGATCAGGAGCGTTGACTTAACTGTGCGTCGCTGATTAAATACATGCATATGTATACATATATGTGCAAGTGCAAGTGAGATGGCAGCTAGCAAGACCAGAGAGACCAGAAATCCCAAAGAGCGCGAGCAATGAAGTGTTTTTAGACACCCGTCGCTGCTGCATATATTTACACAACAATTGCAATTAGAAATTTATATCAATTAAAAAGTATTAAACGAAAGAAAAATCTGTCATCCAAGTGAAGCAAAACAAAACAAGTGATTGGAATAAATTTGCAAATAAAGTGGAATCGAATCGGAAAAAAGCCAAGTGTTAGCGGAGCAACGAAGATCCAAAACAAAAAGAAAATGTAAGATAATATAAAATATACAAAAGTCCCAACGCATTTTGTGAGAGAAAGAGAGGAGGCGAGACGCAGACGCAAGAGAGTTAAACGTGCCGCGTTTTTGTTTTTGCGTGTTGCCACTGCTCTGCTTCCTATTTAGATAAAATTATTAAACAAACATAATTGTGTAGAGTTCATTGTGGAGTTCTTTCTCTCTGGCGTAAATTCCAAAATTCTGACGCATCGCATGCTGTTCCCAGTGAGTTAACAGAATGTAAAATACCCAAGCAGCAAGCAGTTTGGGACATTTTTGGTTGTTTTGTGTGTTTTGTGGTTCTTTTTGGCACATTGCACTGTGGGCTGTGTCTATTTTTAGGCCACGAGAGCAGAGAGTAAAACAAATAGGAATTAATTGTCAACAGGTTGCGGAAGTGACGGCTATAGTTCAAGGATGTTCTCAAACAAATTTGATGTGAATAAAAACTCGACTAGTATAACAATTGTCAATCCCCACGACACGCCAGTGCTAAATCGCGTGATTAATGTTTGGCCAAATGAATTGGCACTATGTATGTGAAATGAGTCGGAGCTTAAAATGCCGATTATCTCCGCTGCTGGAGTAAAAAGAGCGCAAGAGCAAGTACATTCATTTGACTACGAGGCGTGGCGTGTGTTTGTGTGTGTGTGTGTGTGTATGTGTTGGGGAGATAAAACAAAAAACAGGGCGTAGGTGAGGGAAAACCGCGTAAATGTAAACGAGTTTTCCCAATGTTTGTTTTTGTTCTTCAGCCTCGCTACGTGTGCATTAATAACAAAAATAAATCGTATCGTATGTACGTGCCAGGGTGTGAGTTGCTTTGCATTGAAATTGTTCAAATATTGCCAATAAGAGTATTAATACATTGCTAAGGCCTAAGTCAACCCAATAGCTCGGGGGCTCAGTCACAACCAGTTGCAAGGTACATTCATTGAAAGGCCGGGACGGCAGTGTCAACATAATGAAGCATAAGTACATACATAGACAAATGTGTGCGTGCACTTGTGTTTTAAAATAAAGCTAAAACAGATGTTATCTTGTTTTGGCAATCTATGAATAAATCAGCATCCCATACATCATGGTGAAGCACTGATTTACCTTCCACATAATGTACCTCGTGCTAATCCCTTTCCATCGACGGTTGCCATGGACAACCAGCAGCACTACAAGAAGTGTAAACAGTTGCCCCCCACCCACAGGCCGACCCGACCCTTGCGCAGTCCGCACGCAACATTCATTTATGGTTGTGCCAGGGTATGGAAAAGGTGAACGTGAACTGAACGGGTTTTGTGCTCCAATCCAATACGCGAAAACAATAAGTTGCGCGGAATGTGTTGCTGCTGTGATTCACAGATATTCAGACAAACAGTCGCAGTAGCTGGAGTTTTTGCAAACTCGACAGATCCAGCAGAATTGGAGTCAAGAAACGGGGAATCCATCAAACGGAAAAAGTTTTCAATTCGTTGTGGTATTTTTTTTGTCGGTATCTAGAACAGCATTTACAACAGTGGCATAGTGGCACATGGCAGGGTCATGTGCGCGGGTCTTACAATTCTAACAGACGACTGTTAACGATGAGTGATTATGCTGAGCTAATTGTCTTCGAATGTACGTATGTACATATGTACCATATTTCTAAGCCATATATTTGTATGTGTGTGTGCAGCTTTAAAAGTTAATTATAGATAAGCAGTAAATTGTAGCAGAAAATGGTAACAAAGTGGATTCATGAAACGGTACACAGTACTGTTAATGCGACCACTGCCATTGACAGTGTTTTTGTCAGTAAATATAACACTATGTACTTGAAAGTGAAGTAACAGAAAACATGTTTGATAACATACGAATGTTGAGGATGAGTGATTATATGCGGGAATATTTTTATAAATATTACTGGAGTTGTTTAACTTTCCAATGAATTTTTAGATTGATAACTGGCATTGATTCATCATTTTTTTGTTGTTATCAAATGGGAGTCATTAGACAGGAAAATTTCAGAATACAAAGGTAACTGGAACAGAATAAAGGTTAGAATTGGTACCGCGGGGTCATGTTAACAAGGCAACAGCAACTTAAAAGTGATGAATTTTGCTTGTAAATTCAAATTAAATCTCTTTTGAGACTTTCGCCTGTGCTACTACATTGGAGCATTAATATGTGGCTTCATGTGGGAGCATGGCCATTGAACACTTAAATATTGAGTCACTTTAAGTAGTTGTAGGCGGGTCAATAGCTATTCTATTGATTCATATTAAAGAGGAGAGTGAGACTCGAGATTGCTATATTCCATGAAAAGCCAACTGACGGCACACTTCAGTGTGAGCCTTTGAACCGGTTTTAAAACTGTAAAGCAACCACCCCCCTAAAACCGCATTTTATTTTTTCCATATATCACATTTCTACGAATTCATTATGTACATACATATGTACATATGTATGTGCTGTTGAGGTCTGACTTGACCACAAAAACGTGCACTCCAGTCCGAATACAGAGCCGTCTGCCAAGTGAACATTTTATTACAATTAGACGCACATACAAAATGTACATAATTACGCAGCAAAGTTGTTGACGATCGCGCTACAGCGCGTGATTAACATTCACCATTTCATTCTGTTCAAAGTGCTCTCTCTCTCTCTCTCTGCCTTTTACTACGCCCGATCTATCACTCCCCCTGCAATCGGGTGGCGAGCCTGCTGGCCCCTATATTTGTGCATATTTGTTTGTGTGTGTGCTGATAAGGCTGTTAGATATAGATAAGCCCGTGTGGTGTACTAACATATATTCTCTTTTCATATTTTCGCTCGCTCTCTGTAATTTTGCATCGACCGACGACACACAGTGGAAGGTAGACGCTCCCCATTTGGACTCAGTGCCGCGTAAGAGATTGCTCGGAGCAGGCTTTGTTCGGAGAAGGAGTCGCGAACATTAATAATAATATACCATAACCATCACCACTACCGTCTCGGAATTGGAGCTAGAACAACAAATATGACATCACGTCTGCGTCACTGTGCCCGTCTGGGCATCATCATGCTGGGGATCTGTTCCATTGCCGGCGGCATTTATCTATTTCGCAATTGGATCGAGATGTTTACACGCATGCGCGGCAAGGTGAGTGTTTCTCCACCCTCCCCCTATAAAGAGTCTTATCTTATCAAAGATACACTGCCATTTCGCTTCGAGCGAGAGCTGGAGTCAAGTTTTGCGAACCGGCAAATTGGCAAACCGCTCAAAGGTCAGGACCCCGCCCCAACCTTGTAGACCTTTTCTTCATTTACATACAAATCGGAACGTTTCAACGAACAGAACTTTGTCTTTTGATTGAAACCAATTAAGGCTTGCTCATCGAAGACCGCAAAAGACAGCCCAAAATTGATCATCGAGCAGGTGTTCGAATATAAAAGTCACTCCCCGGAGATAAGATACGGCTTACACATTCGATCATTTTTGTATCAAAAAATTGTTTTGCAAAAAACTTCGTTTGCGATCACATTAGGTATACAAATATGAATGTACATACAATGTATGTAAATGTATTATATACATTCATATTTTTTATATACCGATTTAGAGTATACCCATATTTTGTGTGTATAATTCTGATTAGCGTCTGACTGCGACTGCTTGAGTCATTAGCTTTGTGTGAGAGAGAGCCAGAGGCTGTGGCATTGATCTCTGTTGGATCACTTACAGGGTTT